ATTCTTCGATCTATCTCCGCCTCACTCTCTGCTCCTTCTCTTTCTGATCGGCGACAGTCGCCACCACGTGCCCCTTTCTCCGACCCAGCGACGCAACCGCAGGGAGGAAACTCGAATCCCCGACTAGGACAATGCAGCAGTGACGCTGTGGGATTTCCGACGAGAGTAGCAGCGACCTCCAATCCAGCAAAAATCCGGCGATGAACTCTAGCACAATGGCAGGTCCAGGCGACGCGGCCACCTTGTAGCAACGACCTCACCCCCAGCGAGCATCACAGACAGTCCCCTTCGGCAACCTCTCTCCCTACCCCGGCGAGGTCTGCGATGGTGGTGACCGGGTGGGTGAATCAGCGACCTCCGCGCATTGGCGACAGAGTTCGGGAAACGAGTAATTCTGGTCTGTAGCAATTGAACCGACGATAGGATTGACTCTGATGTTTTCCAGCGACCTTCGTTAACGGCGGTAGTAGTCCCGCGAGGGGTCCTATGACAGTAGCGTCCGGATCGCACTAAATTGGGGCAGCAGGCTGAGTTCGGACAACGAATACGTTCGGACGGCAGTGGCGATGGTGCCGTGGCAGCCTAATGACCGACCCCGATGACGGTACACAGGGGACTCCCTCTTTTAGATTGAACCAAATCGTATCGAGGTGAGTACGTGGACATCTAGCACTAGAATACGCATATATGTTTGAAATTCCGTTCATAGTTATTATTGTGATTGATCTGCGTGAATTATGTGACTGAACTGTTTGATGGTGGTTTCAGGGACTATGCCGATTGAAAAGGGTAGTATGCATGACTTAGGTGCTGATTGATGAAATAATGTGCTTGATAATATTTAGAATGGTAATATGTACTCATTGATGTATACTACTATGAGATTTCTGTTGGTTTGGCGCTGGAAAATGAAATAGGTAAAAAGCTGGAATTTGTTGTGTCAGACGGTAGGAGGTACCGCCGGGATGGTACTGTGCTACCGTCATACGCTGTTGCTTCTTTCACCACTGCCGGTAGTTGCGACCGTACGGTACTAAGGTACCGGACGAACGGTAGGCCCTACCGCCCGGTCGGTAGACGGCTACCGTGGCAGTCCTACCGGAATAGTCCAGTTAGCTCGGATGGTACCGTAGGACCGGTACCCAGGTACTGTGAGGACGGTACCCCGTTTCGTGAAGGGTACCGTCTGGTACCTGATGTCGGGTCTGTCGATGTGTGTTTTCATCAAGGATTGATTCCGAGACCTTATGTGTTGTATGACGCAAAGTTAGGGTGTCAATACCCGATTCTAGGTCGCTATGTGTTATGATTGTGATTGCTCTCTGTTGATCCAATACTTATGTGAATTGACATTATTCTGGTGATCCAACCTCGAATTCAATAATAAGAGCGGGCTGATCCAGCACGCGAAGCACAAGTTACATGGGTGTTGATCCAACCCCATGAGCCAAGGTAAGTCTACCTAGAGGAACTCTAGGACTGACTCAAGTACTGGTATTAGGAAAGTCAAAGTTTGAACCAAGTGGACGCGTGCTAGGCTCTAATGGTTAAGTTGAACCGGGTAAAAACGTACGTACGGGTATCTTTGAACTGCCTGGTGATCCATCAGGTGGGGATTCCACCCACCCAACGGAGACCTCCTACGTTGGTTAAGCATGACCCGCTGATCCAATGGGAACCCTCATGTCTTCCATACAGTATAGTTATAGTCCTTAGACTAGTATAATTAATAGGGACAAGTTCTTGGTGATTCACCAACCGTGAGAACTCCCTCGTTGGTTGAGCATGATCCCTTAATCCAGTGGGAACAATCATGACTCCCAGAAAAGTAGTATGTCCTTAAGTCTAGTGTAGAGTTCAAGCAGAGATGAATGGTGATCCACCATTGCAAGATACGCTCCATTTTGGCGAGAATGGGAAAAGGCAGGTGCCAAGTAAATTATGGTGGTCTAAAAAATGGTGAGATACAAAGTCTAGAGGGGGGGGGGTGAATAGACTTTGTTACAAATTTAAAAATTTTTTAAATTCTTTTGAAAATGTGAACGAGTGTTAATATAAAGTTCTTGTGAACTTAGATTGTGTGCGGAAGTTGGTGGGTTAATGGAGCAATAATCAATATGGATGGGTTAGTCTCACAGTTAATATAAATGCAAATATGAGTAAAGATAAAAGAGAGAGAGAGACACAACAATTACACTATGTAGTTGGTTGTTGAATAATGAACAAACAATTACACTTTTGTGAATTTCTGCACGGTATATCTTCGCAAGGCCAATATTGCTACTGCACTCGTGCTGGCTTTGTTGTTCCTTCGATGGTCACGCTTCTTCAACAACTGCAAGATCCGAACAAAATGACTTGCAAGATCAACTTTTAGAAAAGTTGATGTGCCCCGTTTTAATCAAGAAGTTTGATTAAAATTTGTATCCTTCAACGTGGTGTGGTACTTGAGGCAAGGAAAACTTCAAGTGTTTACACTATAGCTCTTTGAAGAATGAGGAGTTTGCTTCTAGATAAGGAGTTTAGAAATATCTCTTTATCAAGCTTTTTGGCTAACTGTGAATGAGATAACTTTGTTAGTTGTTTGAGAATTCCTTACTTGTCTCTGACATTTCCGAGCAAGAGTTCCAATTTCCATATCACTGAATTTGATTAAGTCTTCAAAGAGTGACATCAAACCACAAAGTGAAATATCACAAGTTTTACTGGAAATCTCAAGAACTCGGTTTTAAAAGAATTTCTAGAAAGAAAATTACATTGAATATTGGGGGTGACCTAAAGTCCCTATTACAATCTAAATACATCATCATCAAAATCTACAATTTTTTCTAACACTTTCCCCCTTTTTGATGATGACAAACAAGTGTTTAAGAGTTCTGGTCGCTGTATTGAGAACTAATTTTATAACTTTCTTTTAGTTTCTCATAATATACAGCTTGTTAACAAAAACTCATAAACAAAATACAATTCAAATTACAACAGTTCCTAAACCAAGTCTTGTCTTGAGATTTGTGATATTTCTACCATTTGCTGCTTTTATCTCCAGCTAATTTTGCTTAAAAGTTCAGATGGCATTGTGTTTGATGGATCTAAACATCCAAAGTGGACATTGAGACCTTAGGAAGCAACATTTCTCCAAAAATAAAGAAAATAAAAACAAAGAAAATTGTTTTTGGAAAGGGAGGAGAGGAGGGGCGGTGAAAGGCAGGAAAAAGACAGAAAGAACAAGAAAAGGTTTTGAAAAAGAGTTTAAAGGAGAAATATGAAAAATATTTAAAGGAAAAAGTATGGTAAACTAGGGAAGAAAAAAATTAGAAAATAGAAGGGGAAAGAAAACGCTTGCTAAGAAGTCTTAGACAGGCGGGGAAGAGAAGAAAGATTGGAGAAGTTGGAAAAGGGGAAGAGGGAGGAGAAGTGGAGACCTGAAATCAAAAAAAAAATTTAGAGGAGTGGAGAGATGAAAGTAGGCCAAGAGAAAAAAGAAAACAAATTTTTGAAGAGCAAAAAATAGAAAAGGAAAAAGAGCGAAGAGGGGGGGGGGGCAGAAAAAGGTTTTGAAAAGAAAAATGAGTGTTGATCCAGAGAAGGTGTGTGGCGAGATGCAAAAATGCGAGATTCTCACCATAAACCTTCTCTACTGCTGAGATTCCCACCATAGACCTTGAATATCTTTTCTTCCCACCAGGCTTTCTCCATTGCCGTCTATGAAGGTGAGGAAGAGAGACTTCTCCATTGAAGAGAGTTTGCTAGGTGTTTTTCTTAGGCAGTGGGTTTGAAGACTTTTCATATTGTGAAAATTTGTTTGTGATAGGAATGGATATGGATTGGCTCGGTTTAAATAGGAGGAGGAGATAACAAAGGGGTGGTTCACGGGTTCCATTAAGTGGGTGGTTGGAACGGTGAAAGTAAGTAGATCTCAACTTCCAAGAAGTTGAATTTTGAAACGTTGGAAGAATCTTTTACCAGTTACCAATGAACCGAAACTGTTTCAAATGAAACCAGTTACGTTTGGTTTGAAAGAAGTAACTATTTTGGTTTGGCTAAGCCCAAAAAAATCTATGCACTAAAGGGAAATTATTCCTATTGGGTTCTAAAGGCCCAAAATAAAATCTATCATTTTTCATTCCCCAAAGTTCTAAAATCTAATTAGGACGAGGTAATACCAAAAGGAATATAAACTTCATTTTTAAAAGAAAAGTGGTACTAATTTTCCAAAGTCCTGTACATTTAAAAAAATCCGAAGGACCAGTTCTTTAGAGCAAGAGTGGAAATGAGCTAAGGATTGAAACTCAATTTAAGAAGGCAGATTTTGTAGAATACCTGAATCGGAGGTCCCCAACTCTAGTACAAAATGTGGGATATCCGTCTTCCATGCTTAGAGTGTTTCATCAGTAGTTCCTTACCTAGGGGTGAGCGTGGTACGGTATGGTACGGTATTTAGCTCGTACCGATACCGTACCCAATATTTCGGTTTGGTATGGGATTTTACGTTGTACCGATCCCGATCCCGATACATTACCAACGACAAATATTAGCCAAAAACAGTTAAGTTCCCCCTGAATTACATTCCCCCTGAATGTATGCACGCATGATCTCAAAACTTGTGCTTAAAGGAAATATATTCAAGCATAATTTTGAGATTTAATCAAAGGAATGTTTAAACAAAAAGTGTTTAAACAAGAAGGTGTTTTCATCGAAACACAAATAATGTATCTAGACTTCCCCCCTGTTTTGATGAAAAGAGCCTTCAACTCCTTTTGCATTTAGCAGATTCGGCAGACTCACCAATGCCTTGCATGACTCCACATTCAGCTCTTATGCGCTTCAGATTGTCATACCTTTCTTTTTGCTGAGCCTCATTTGTGAAGTGTGAGACAATTGTTCCTAAGGCTTCCGTTCCGTCAAATTCATTATTTGACAGTTGGTGTACTGATTTCTCCGGGTTGCTCTGCTGGGCTTCCAGTATTAGTTCAGTCATGTTCAGGTGGGGTGGAATGTACCTAAGTTCTCCTTGATGAGCTTGAATTGGAAGTCTTGGAATTTCAGGTAAATTCTTTTATTGGACAGTCACATCCAACTTGTGTTTGGTAGTGAAGGTCGCAAAGTGCTTGAAGAGCTTAAATGCTTCCTTCTGATTGTCAGCGAGCACCCTCAGGTAATCTTGGGTGACCACTTGATTTGCTAAAGATACTGCCAAGGCTGACCTGATGTCCATTTGTAGAAGTGACATCTGCTTCTGAAGACTGGTAGTGAAAGTGGCAATCTGGTGTTTGACTTCCATCGCTTCTTTGAGTTGAAGATGGCAGTCAGAGGCATAGGTCATCATGGTAGTGCTCAATGAGTTACTCATGAGAGAAATGATCTTAAGGGTCTTGTTGGCAGTTTGACTTATCTCTTTGAGGTTTGAGCTATACTTCTCTTCAGTCTTCTCCAGAATCTTATTATGTCTCACTTCTATCTTATCTAACTCTTCCCTAAATGAGGCTTTTTGAGACTCTAAGGCTGATTCAACCAGCCCTTGAACCTTTCTGGTCCAGGATTCCGGAATCTCATCTGGTAGAGTAGATATGGAAGAGCTGTGAAAGTGGAAGTTTGTTACTTGATAGGATGGAGGTACACTGTGATAGAGTTGCAGTGGGAGAGATTCAGATTCTTCTCCTTCTTCAACATCTTCTTCATGGACTTTCAGAGTCTTCACTGACTCTTCCGCAGTTTCTGTACCCCTGTAGTTTGAGATCTCCCGAGAAAGTGAATCTCTTACTACATCAGCATTTTGTTGCTCAAAGATAGCAACTGGAGTTTCAGTAGCTTCCAGTCTGGCTATTTGAGCACCTTCTGCAGCTTCTTCAAAGCTCCTTTGTGCTTCCACTTCTGGTTCTTCCTGAGCTTCTTCTTCTGTGGCATTTGGCGGGGTGGACTTCTCCAGATTTTCTGCTGACCTTTCCGAAATTTCAAGTTCAGTCTGATTGGAGATCTCACAAGTGGTTGTGAGGATCTCTTGAACTTGAAATTAGATGGATTGGAGAATTTCCTCTTCCTCTGCTGTTTGAGTCTGTTCTTCATGCTCTTGGACAGTTTCAACAGGAACAGTTTCAAATGCAGGGGAGGTTTCTAGAAAAATTTGGAAATCCTCAGCATCAGCTTCCATGTCTGCTTGTGCTTCTACAGTGATGTCTTCAGTCTGGTTTTCAATCTGATTTTCAGATGGATTGGAGAAGATGGGTTTGTAGACTGCTGTATCTTCATCATCAACCTCAAATTCTGAGGGTGGAGAGACAGCAAATCTTCATTTGACTTCTTCCAGACCCATTCCTCATCCAAAATTTGCTCACAATATCAGTTAGTTGGAAGTCCTAGACATCTCTTAATGATCTTTTCATTTTTCAGCTATTGATCCCACTCAAACAACTGATATGCAGAGTTGCCAACCTTCCCAGCTCTCCAGACAGAGTAAATATACGTGAACTTGCTCATTTCATCAGAGAGAGTTTGTGATGAAGGAGTTGGAAGGCTTTGTTCTTGATGGGTTTCCTCATTGAGATTCTGAGGACTGTCCTGTGGATGATTCTACTGTGACATTTCCAGGTTGACATCTCCGGATGTGGAGGGAGAGGAGATTCTTCTCTTCTTTCTCTTCTGAAGTTGACCTTGTGCAGAGACTTCTTCCTCCTCATCCAGATTTACCATTCCAAGGTCTTGTGGTTCCTCAACACTGGGGGAGGGAGATACCACTTGCTTTCTCTTTGAGGATTTCTTCAGACTTATAACTAGAACATTTTCTGAAGATCCTTCATCTTCTGCAACAGAGCTGGCTCTGTTTTCACCTTTGGTTGACAGATAGTACAACCAATATCTTGCCTCATATTTCTTTTCTTCAGAGGCAATGCCCATAGATTCCAGTAGATATCCAAGGTGTAACACCCTAATCCGTTCAGGTCTGCAGCCCCTTTTGGACTAAAATATTAACTTGGTAATCGTAAAAATTTAAAACATTTCAAACACTTTTATTTATCACAATAATATTTTTCATAACATATAGAGTACGGAGTACTCAACAATATTGCGGAAGCGAATTAAATATTGACATATCATAATTCATTTCAAAATTTGTCACATCCATTCCGACAATCTCGCCCCATCTACTGCCAGGATCACATTATTCTTTCTGTTCACCTGCGTGTAGCAAATAAAACATACTACACGCTCAGTGGTAAAGCTGAGTAAGCATATCTAATGTGTCGAACATCCATATAAACTGAATCTAAATTCATAATCAAATCATTTGATATCATGCACACAATGTTCACTTTAGACATCCAGAGTTTTGATATTATTCAGTTCTTATCAACATATTTTATTCAATTCAGTTATTGTTTCGATAGTGCTCTTAAATTATTCTTAATCTAAGGCCAAATAATAACAACGCTCTTAACTATTCTTAGTCTAGGGTGAGATCATAACAATGCTCTTAGCTATTCTTAGTCTAAGGCCAGATCATAACAACGCTCTTAGCTATTCTTAGTCTAAGGCCAGATCATAACAACGCTCTTAACTATTTTTAGTCTAAGGCCAGATCATAACAACGCTCTTAGCTATTCTTAGTCTAAAGCCAAATCATAATTTCATTCTCAGACGCTTAAACTATAATTAGTTTAAGGCAAACATTTCTCAAACGCTTAAACTATAATTAGTTTAAGGCAACAATTTTCCGACGCTTAAACTTTAATTAGTTTAAGGCAAACAATTCTCAGACGCTTAAACTATAATTAGTTTAAGGAAACAACAAGACAATAATTAATCATCATTGAGTCGAAGTATTTCCAAACGAGTGATCCTCTAGTTTGGTCTACGTGTTCCGTTACATTTTTTATTTATCAAATTATCAAATATTCAGATTTTCACAATCCCTTCTAATCTGAGATCTATTCTAGAGGTCTTATAGATAACCTTAATATCAATTATTTAAATGGGTATATCTTAGAGTTCTAGATACTCTTAACAATACACAACATTTCATAATTATCAATATATTCATTTTTAATCATGATTTAATCATTCATAATTATTATTTTAATAAAAATATTCATCAAAGTCTGATTATAAACAACATCAATAATAATTTTAACAATATCCAATAACAAATAGCGGTCTAGCATCGAATGTTAACACCTTAGCTTACCGTCATACATCACATAAAATTTTATTTGTCAAAACATCATTTTTATTTTATCACATGAAATTTTATTTGTCAAAACATCAATTTTATTTTTAACAATTATTTTTATATTGATCATAATTGATTGGTATAATAAAAATTAGGCTTTTATAGCTTCAAAAATAGCATTTTTGGACTTAAAATGTTTGTAATGGTCGACCGTTGGGTTCGAACGGTCGTCTGTTCCATTGGAAAATGTAGGAAGATGAAGGGGTTACTATTCATCATCTTCAACCTCTAACCCATTTTTCCCAAGTTCCATTTTTGGTCACCAAACTTCAATTAAACTACATAGAAATGTTCTCCAAGGTTCGTAGATCATTTTAGAGGCATCAATTCGAAGTTTTTAACAACAAATTCAAGGTTTATGATTCTTGGTTCTTCACATATGTCAAACACAAAACTCAAGCAAACGACCATTTATGAACGTAGAAACGATCTATACGAACATTCTAATCACTAGATATATCTACGGGCTTACTTTGAAATGAAACGATGATTCCGGTGGAAAAACGGCGAAACTTCTGGCGAACACCACGACTTGCTCCGGCGACCTCAACTTCTCCGGACAACACCACCGCACTCCTCACTCTCTCATGAACAGTTAGGAAGAAGAATGAAGAAGAATGGTGAAGAAATGAATGAATTGGGTTTTTCCTTATATAGAGTGGGAAGAAGAAGAAGACGTAGTGGGATGACGCTGATTCGCGTAGTGCGCTCGGAGGCGCCGATTGAACAATTTCCTGATTGGGACCAATTTTTGTTCCAGTCAGGGTACATTTTTTGGTTCAACTTTATCCGAATTGATTTCCTTTTGTACCGTTGCGATCAGACAGTCAAACTTTATTTAATGATATAACTTTTATATTTATTTGAAATACTTTTTCTGACAACATATTTTTGGGTGTTGACTTTGACAGAGTCAAAATTGAATTAATTGATATGTAATTAAAATTAGTCTCATATTCAATCAATATTACTAAATATAAATATTTATTTCAATAAATAAATTTACAAAAGTTCACATCTTTGACTTTTTCTCATTTTTATACAAATTACATATTTAAAATGTCATAACTGAACCTCTGTACATCATATTTATTCATAAAATATATGAATTATTTTATGAATGTCCTCCACTTCCACATTCCAGACATAAAATAGATTTATTCAGATTTATTCTCTCCTGGGTGATGTCATCTACATGTCCTCCACTTCCACATTCCAGACATCCGATGACAAGCTCAAAGATTAGCTTGTAGTCATTCTTCAAATCAGCCTTTTATGGGCCAGAGGGGATTTGTCCAAAGATCCCAATTTTATTCCAGTCTAGATTCTTAGATGTGAGCTTTCCAACATTAATTCCAGAATGGGGAAGATGAAGCTTCTTTTGCATCTTCTTCTGTGAGATCTTCACTTTCGTGCCTCCAACAGTTGATTCGATGATTTGAATCGATCTTTGTGGATTCTTCTTTGATTGGACAGTCTTGATTTCTTCATTTCTGTAGAATTCCAGAACTTCTTCTTCATATTTGAACGGAATTTCTAGATGATGAAATTCAGACAGTTCTTGAGCTTTAATCATCTCCAAATACGCTTCGTAGAAAGCAGGTGAAGAGCATTTGGCTACCAATTTCTTGAAGTGAACATTCGTGCCTCCAACCTTCATTTTCTCTGAATTTTGTGAGAAAGAATTCAAAGAAATTAGGGTTCTTCTGTGATTTCTCGCTAGGAAGACGATGAGGAATGTAGTGGGCGATTGGGTTTCAATTTGGGTGATTTATGCGGCTGGTGGCGATTGGGTTTTTAACTGTTCCCAAGGCCACGTGCCTGCGCGTTGCTTTATGTGACGTTGATGTGGACTGCCACGTGTACCGCACTTAGTCTAATTGAATTAAACCAATTTTGTGAAGCAATTCGGAAAACCTGGCTTCACTTAGTGGTTTTGTGAAGATATCCTCCAATTATTCCTCTGTTGAGATGTACTGAATTCTGATGTCCTTCTTCTGACATGATCTCTGATGAAGTGGTGCTTGACATCAATGTGCTTAGTGCGAGAATGATGCACTGGATTTTGTGAAATGGCTATAGCTTTTTGATTGTCACAAAATATTGTCACTTCCTTCGTTTTGACACCATAATCCAGTAGTTGTTGCTTTAACCACAAGATCTGAGCACAACAACTACCAGCAGCAATGTACTCTGCTTTTGCTGTTGATGTAGAGATTGATTTTTGTTTCTTGCTGAACCAAGAAACAAGGTTTCCACCAATGAATTGACATGTGCCCGAGGTACTCTTCCGGTCAACTTTGCATCCGGCAAAGTAAGAATCTGAGTATCCCACTAACTCAAATGAGCTACTCTTAGCATACCATAGACCCATATTTTTAGTTCCTTTAAGGTATCTAAGAATCCTTTTGGCTGCAATTAGGTGGCTTTCCTTTGGCTTTGATTGAAATCTAGCACAAACACCTACTGCATATGAGGTATCTGGACGGCTTGCAGTAAGGTTGAGTAGAGATCCAACTATTCCTCTGTAGAGAGTTTGATCAACATCCTTTCCATCCACATCCATGTCAAGCTTGGTGGATGTACTCATGGGGACAGAGACGGATGACTTCTGATCAACTTTGAACTTCTTGATAAGATCCCTTGTGTATTTGGCTTGATTGATGAGAGTCCCTTCACTTCTTTGCTTGATTTGAAGACCAAGGAAGTAGTTGAGTTCCCCCATCATGCTCATCTCAAATATTTCTTGCATGAGGGTGGAGAACTTGGTGCAAAGAGCTTCCTTAGTTGAGCCAAATATGATATCGTCCACATAGATTTGGACCAATAGAAGATCTTCACCGTCTTGTAGTTTGATTAAGGTTTTGTCAATGACTCCCTTGATGAATCCATTGTTTATTAGGAATTGAGACAATGTATCATACCAAGCTCTTGGTGCTTGTTTGAATCTATATACTTGATCGCCTTTAGTGTGTAACTCAAATCCTGGAGGTTGTTCCACATAAACTTCTTCCTATAGGTTTCCGTTGAGAAATGCGCTTTTCACATCCATTTGGTAGACTTTGAAGTCCTTGTGAGCAGCAAAGGCTAAAAATAACCTTATAGCTTCAAGTCTAGCAACTGGAGTGAAGGTTTCATCAAAATCTATACCTTCTTCTTGACAGTAACCTTTGGCTACCAACCGGGCTTTGTTTCTGACAACAATACCATTTTCATCCATCTTGTTCCGGAAGACCCACTTTGTCCCAATGACATGTTGATGAGTAGATCTTGGAACAAGTTTCCAGACATCATTTCTGGTGAATTGGTTGAGTTCCTCTTGCATTGCGTTGATCCAATCAGAATCAGCTAGAGCTTCTTCAATGCTCTTGGGTTCTACTTGCGAGATGAAACATGCAAGCATGGCTTCTAGATTCTGTTGAGCGCTTCTTGTGCGAACGCCTGATTGAATGTCTCTTATTATTTGTTGAGGGTGATCCTTTAACCAACAAAGATTGTGTTGATTAGGGTTGACTGGCTGGACTTCTCCGTGAAGTCTTCAATGGTAGACTTCCGAATGGAATAAACTCCGTTGGCTTCATTCTATCTCCTTCATTGACTTCTTCATCTTTGTCTGAGAGATCCAGAACCTCATGATCATGCTTTGATGGCGTGTCAACCACATGTTTTTCATCAAAAATAACATGTATTGACTATTCAGTGATCATGGTTCTTTTGTTGGAGACTCTGAACGCCTTGCTAACCAGAGAGTATACAAGGAAGATGGCTTCATCTGATTTCTCATCAAAAGTGTTTAGATGGTTCTTCCCATTTTTAACACAAAACACTTGCTCCCAAAAATATGGAAATATGATATATTAGGCTTTCTTCCTTTCCATAGCTCATAGGGAGTTTTGTTGTGCCTTTTATATATCATACTTCTATTTTCAGTATAGCAAGCTGTGTTTACAACTTCAGCCCAGAACTTTTTTGGTAAGAAAGCTTCTGCTAGCATGGTTCTTACTGCTTCCTTCAAGGTTCTATTCCTTCTTTCCGCTACACCATTCTGCTATGGTGTCCTTGCTGCGGAGGTCTGATGAAGAATTCCGTTTTCTTCATAGTGATGAATGATGATTTCATTCACGAATTCTGTGCCTTTGTCAGATCTGATCTTCTGGATGGTCTGACTTGCTTGATTCTGGATCCGCTTCATGCACTTTGTGAGTTTCCCTTGAGTTTCCTTCTTGCTGTTGAGGAAGATTGTTCACGTGTATCTTGAATAGTCATCAACCACTACTAAGACATACTTCTTTCCACTTAGACTTATTGGAGTAACAGGTCCAAATAAGTCCATATGAATAAGACTTAGTATCTTTGGAGTTGAGTGTGCCGGTTTCGCCTTGAAAGTGGATTTGACTTGTTTTCCTTCCTGAAAAGCATCAGAGATGCTTTCCTTCTTGTACACAGCTTTGGGAAGACCTTCCACGAACCCTTCTTTGGATAACTTGTTGAGGGTTTTGAAGTTGATATGACTCAACCTCTTATGCCAAAGCCATAGAAGGTTAGTGTCACCTTTGCTCATTAGGCATGCTTCTTTGACATCTTCCCACATCACTTCGTAGATGTTCCTTATTCTCTTGCCAGTGAGAATGACTTCATTTGTGGAGATGTTCTTGAGGGATGTCATGTCCTTCCAGGATTCCAGAGAGTAACCTTTATCACAGAACTGACTTATGCTTAGAAGGTTATAGTTGAGGCCTTCCACATAAGATACTGCCTGGATGGTTAGTTCCTTGTACACCAGATTTCCTAGCCCTTTTGTAAGGCCAAAATCATTACTTCCTACAAAAGTAACTCTTGGACCATCATAGGGAATTAGATTGCTCAAAAGACTCGCATCACCCATCATGTGTCTTGAACAGCCACTGTCTAAGTACCAGACACCTGGGTACTTAGTGGCTTCCTGCATTAGGTGGAGGAAGATTTTGGTAGCAAATTCATTTTGGGTCAAGAATAGTTAATGGTGTGTCCCAACATCAAGTTTGAAGTTGCAGGGGATTTTCCTTGCAGCCCTAAACTTGTTGGGGTTGTAGTCATAGTTGTAGGCATAGAATTTCCTATGTGCAGGTGGTGTGAATTCTTGTTTCCTCCTAGTAAACCTAGGTTGGTGAGACCTAAAGTTTTGTCTAGGTTGTGCGTAGTGTGGCTTGTGATGGTTATAAGCATACTTAGGTGGAACAAATAGTTTCTGTGGTGAAGAATGACTATATCTTGGCATAGTTCTCCACTCACTGTTTCTTGGAAAACTTCTATCTACCCCATAATGAGTATAGCCTCGTGTGTAGTGAGGGTTATTGGGTTTTCTTCTGAAATTGTTTCCTCTTTGAGGTTTGTCCAGCTTCCTTTAGTCCTGAGGAGGGACAACCTTCTTGGGAACTTCTATTGGTTTTTCCATCTCCTTACCTTTCTGCTTATTGGGTTTGGCAGTAGGTTTGGGAGGAATAAATGTTGTTCTCCCTTTCCTTTTGGAACTGGAGGGGTCAAACCCAAGTCCTTCACGACCCTTTTTTTTGGTCGTTTCAAGAAGCTTATCCACAGCTTCTTTGGACATCAGTATCCCTAGCTCCTTGTTGAGGGATTTTACCTTTTCAGAGAGAGACTCATTTTCAGTCTTGAGTTGAGTGATCTCACTTAGTTGACTTTTCTGACCTTCAGCCAACTTGAGATTCTCTTCACTCAATAGCTTGTTCTCCTCTGTTAAGGATGAGTCTTTGAGATTGATTTCTACAAAATCTCTCATCATCTTTTTGAACTTGTCAAAGAGATTTTCAGAAGTTGGTATGCTTTCATAAGAAGATGAGCAGAAGGTTTGTGAAGTTACCTCTTGATCAGCACCATCTTTGGCCATTAATCAGAGAGAGTCATCTTCTGACATTGTCCAACGATTTTCATGATTGGACTTCTAAGCTCTGCGCTCCAAGCAGAAGAGGGCTTCCTCATCCGAGCTTGAACTGGATGACTCGTCACTCTCAGCTGCTACCATTGCCTTCTTCTTCTTCTCGTTCCTTTCTCCTTCTCCGTACTTCTCCACTTTTGGATACAGAAAAGCTGACTTCCAGTGGCCAGGCTTCCTGCAGTTATAACACAGATAGGATTCAGGGGGAGAGTTACTTATCTGTAGCTTTCCCTTGGATGGCCTTCTGATGGAGTCAGTTTTCTTGAAGAAATTTTTGAACTTCTGGAATTGCTTGACCATCATTGCAAATTCATCTTCGTAGTTCTCCGCCTTCAAGCTTGTTGGCAGGCTGGTGGAAGGAGTGTCACAGCTCCTTGGACATATCCCTTCTCTTGCTGAGACTTTGGGGTTCGTCATCAGTGTCGTGGGATAGGTGGTGATTTGTTCTTCTTTTTTCTTCTTCTCCAGCTCGTGTTCATAGGTTCGGAGCTCATCTAGGACACCTTGAACAATGTAGTTCTCCAGATTTCTTCCTTCTTCCATGGTTGTGGCTTTGGTGTACCATTCAGCCAGAAGAGACCTTAGTAACCTTACATTCTTTTCTTTGGGAGAAAGAACGTGGTTAAGTGATGCAAGATCATTTAGAATCTTGTGGAATCTTTCATCCAGCAAGTCAAATGATTCTCTGGGAAGCATTTTGAAGCTTTTAAACTTCTCAAGTAGAACCTCTATTTTCTGCTTTCTCAGATCGCCTAATCCCTCACACAACTTCCCAAGACCTTTCCATATTTCCATGGCAGTCTTGAGATGCTTGATTTTGGAAAAGGTGATGGGATCAAGTGTCTTGAAGATGGCTGCTTTGGCGACGTTGTCCAGGTTGTGCATTTTGCAATCTCTATCATCCCATTTCTCTTTGGGTTTTGGAATGTACTGGACTACGTTTGGATTGTTTGGATCCCTCTCTGGATTCTCCATTTGAATCTTCAAAGGTCCATCTTCCAGCACCATCCACATGCAATCGTGTATAGCGTAGAGATGTGCTTCCATCAAGATCTTCCAATCATCATAACCTAGAAGAAAAAACTTGGGCAAACCGTGATCCATATTGTTCACCATTATGATCGCTTCTCTTTAATCTAAATGTAGATAGTGAGAAGTTTGCTCCGATCCCAATTGGTGGTCCCAAAAATGGTGAGATACAAAGTCTAGAGGGGGGGGGGTGAATAGACTTTGTTACAAATTTAAAAACTTTTTAAATTCTTTTGAAAACGCGAAAGAGTGTTAATCTAAAGTTCTTGTGAACTTAGATTGTGTGCGGAAGTTGGTGGGTTAATGGAGCAATAATGAATATGGATGGGTTAGTCTCACAGTTAATATAAATGCAAATATGAGTAAAGATAAAAGAGAGAGAGACACACAAACTTTAACGAGGTTCGAAGGTGGGGTAATCCTTCTACGTCCTCAAAATCTACTATGTAGTTGGTTGTTGAATAATGAAGCAACAATTACACTTTTGTGAATTTCTGCACGGTATATATTCGCAAGGCCAATATTGCTACTGCACTCGTGCTGGCTTTGTTGTTCCTTCGAAGGTCACGCTTCTTGAAATCGGATAAGACTTGCATTAGTCCTCTTCTCAAAACTCTTAAGGAAATCTCAAAATGGAAGGAATTCACACTTAAATATGTGCATATGGACTTCAACCAAGCAACTCATCATTTGGCCTGATTTGCTATTTTCTACTCTCATTTTGGAAAATTCTGGCATTTTTGTTGTTTGCCTAGAATGGTTAGAGGCTGTACTAAACTTATGTATCTCTTCCCCATTTATAATTAAATAAAAACAACATTTTCAGTTTATATATATATATATATATATATATATATATATATATATATATATATATATATATATATATATATATATATATATATATGTTAATAACATGTATTTGCTTATTATTGAATTCGAATAAGAGTACAACAGTTGTCGCATTTAATAGCCCCTTTGACAGCTTTGGGGAGCGATGAAAGTGAATTGTAGACTGAAAACTTATTGTTTAAAAGAGCAAACTGTGCTAAATTATGTGCTGCGGTGTTTTCTTCCCGAAAGACATGTTTTGCACTTCCTTGAATTTCTTGAAGTTTAATGTTGAGATCATGACTATTCGGGTCTTTTTTGTTTGCTCCTTTGATTCTTTTGACTGCATTTTTGGAGTCCATATGTAAATTGAGGCTTCCTTTCACATTTGAAATTGCCCAGGAAAGTCCCATAAGCCCAGCTTCTAGTTCTCCTTCCTCCACGTTGGTTGTTTACTGTAATTTGCAAGTTTTCCCTCCTAGGAAGATGCCTGCTGCTGAACGTAGGATTGCTCCTCCCACCATATAACCTTTTCCTACAACAATGTCTGTATTTAGCGAGATCCCTAAGGCTTTCCATCTGAAGGATTGGATGTTTGGCGCCGGGTTAATGAGGTGTTCGAAGGTGAGGGGAATTATGCCTTTTCCTTTTCCAATAGTCCATTCTATAAGTTTATTCCATATCAATTATATGATCTGTGGAATGGATTTTGCTTCATCTTGATGTTTCCTACGGTTTCTTTCTTTCCAGAGTTCATAGGTAATGATCCCTGGAATGATCTTTTTCTGCTCTCCGATAAAATTGGAATGATACAGAGAAGATTAGCATGGCCCCTCCGCAAGGATGACACGCACAAATCGAGAAATGGATCATTGATGTTGTGATTCCTGCTTTGCCACCAGTTCATCAGGTATGCGCGAATTCCATGAGCTGTCCTATTGGTGATTTTAAATTGTTCTTCAAAATAAGTCCATACTTGTTTGCTGAATTGGCAATTGTGGAGTGTGCGATTTTGGTTATCATGATTGTTCCTGCATAGCAAACAAATGGAGGGGAACCAAGCTGCAAATTTTGTTAAATTGTTAGTAAAATGAAGGATGTTGTTGTAAAGCTTCCATAAGAAAATTGAAATTTTAGGATACTGTTTTTTGTTCCAAGAGTGGGTGAGAAAAGTATCAATGGGAAAATTCTCTCTCATAGCATTGTAAGCTCTCTTTAGGCAAAAACCAGGTTTTCCATCATCCTAGGTAGGATTGTTGTTGCTGCCGAGATCAATAAGGCCATAGGATATGTCATTGATGTAATGAAGTCTTTTCCATGTGGGGGAATCGATGATTTTTGGGGGGGTGTTGAGGCCATGGGGGTATTTGGAATGAATAAACTCAGCCCAAAGTGAGTTATTGTTCATGTAAGTCCACCACATCTTGAGACCATAGGCATTCTGGAGAGTTACAAGGTTTGGGATATTTAATCCCCCCTCTTCTTTAGGTCTACAGATTTTGTCCCAGGACATCCAATGAAAGTTGTGATGCTCATTATTAGTTCTCCAAAAGAAGTTGCACATTAGGGAAGGAGCCTCTTTGCATGTTTAAGATTTTTCCCATTTTGGTGGCTTGAACTGGAGGGGTTTTGTCTCGGGTGTAGAAGGAGCATTTATGCAGATTAATCTTTTGGCCTGAAACTTGTTCATAATCTCTTAGGAATTTGGAGATAAGGGACAAGTTATTTGCATCCCCATTACTAAAAATTAGGAGATCATCTGCAAAGGCTAGGCGGGTGATGGGCATGTAATGTCTTCCCAGTTTGTAGCTTGTGAGTTCCCCCTGGTCAATTTTGATTTTGAGGGTTCTGCTGAAGGTTTCTGCTACCAGGATAAAAAGGAGGGGGGAAAGAGGGTCACCTTGCTTTAGATCTCTTTTGGGTTGAAATCCTTTGGTGGGGTAGCCATTGATGAGGATAGAATGGGTAGTGGCATGGAGGTTGTTGAGGATAAGGGAGATTAATTTGTTGCAGAATCCAAATTTCCTTAGGACGAGTTCAAGGAATTCCCAGGATACTCTGTCAAAGGCCTTGGACATGTCTAGCTTCATAGCCAGGTTCCCTCCTCTTGTTTTGATGTTAATCCCATGAATTAGTTCTTGGGTAATGAGGATTTGATCATGGATTTGCCTTCCTTTGATGAAACCCCTTATTCTGGTGATATAATATTAGGGAGGATGCTGCACATTCTCATTGCTAAAATTTTGGAAAGAATTTTAGATATGAAGTTTGAGAGGCAAATAGGCCTGAAGTCATTAAAGGTGGAGGGATTGTCACTTTTAGGAATAAGGATAATGCTAGATTTTCCCAAAGTTTTGGGAATAGGAATTCCCAAGAAGAACTCCTGGACAGCCTTAGTGACATCCTCTTTAGTAGTATCCCAACATTTTCTGTAGAAGTCCCCAGTGAAGCCATCAGGACCTGCAGCACTGTCAGGGTCTAAGTTCCAGATTGCATCCTTAACCTCCTCTTCAGAGGGGAGTTTAGTGAGCATCTGGTTGTTTGTCTCTTTGATGATAGAGGGGATGTTAGTGAGGAAAGTGTCATGGCCAGAACTGTTTTCCCATGAGAAGAGTTGTTGGAAGTATTTTGATGCTTCCTCTTGTATTTCTTTGATGTCTGAAGTCCAGTTTCCTCTGCTATTTTTTATTCTTTGGATTTTTTGGGAATTTCTTTTCTCCTTCAGAATGGCATGAAAATATGCTGAGTTGCAGTCCCCCTCCTTGAGCCATTTGATTCCAGCCTTTTGTTTCCAATAGTTGAATTCATTTTTTGTGGCTTGATTAAGGTGTGCTCTTGTTTCATTCATCAGAACCCTATTCTCCAAGGTAGGCTGTATATCATGTTTTTGCTCAGCCTCTTGAAGTTTTTGTTCAAATTCCATCACTTTGGAAGTGATGTTACCAAAAATCTGTTTGTTCCAGGTGATGAGAATTGAGGTGAGGTTAGCCAGTTTGTCCATTAGGCCTTTCATCCCCCCCCCCCTTTATAGGGTCCCCAGTTTTCTGAAATAGTATTCTTGAAGGAATGATAATTAACCCAGCAATTTATGTATCTGAAGGGTTTGGGACCAGTGAAAAGGGGGTTTTGTAAGGTGGTGAAAATAGGGATGGTCAGAATTTCCTCTTGAGAGGTGTTGGGAGGAAATAAAATCATATTGTTTTTGGCATTGGGGATTTATGAAAACTCTGTCCAATCTCTTCCATAGTCTGCCAAGGGATCTGGTTCCTGTCCAAGTGAAGCTCTTTCCAGTGAAGGAGGGGGAGATTAAACCATTGTCCATGATACAGTTATCAAAATCCTGTATACTGTGGAGGCATGGAATGCTCTTTCCCTTGTGGTGTTCTAAGGAGGAAATGGCATTGAAGTCTCCCCCTAGGATCCAGTCTCCTTGGTGGACACTGTTGGTATGGCTGATTGCATCCCATAATTGTTTCTTCTCCTCCCTTGTATGTTTACCATAGATTTCTGAGATTAGGATGTCTTTGTTTGTTTGTTTGCATTGGAAAAGGATATTGAGCATTTGACCCATGTCACTGTGATTCTTGTAGGTAAGGTGATGATTTTGCCACATGATTCAATGATAAAATGTAAATAGATTAAAAAGTAGGATATACAAATAGAACGGGCATACCCGAGCTGGGAAATGGTAAAACCAAATCCAAAGAAACAAATGGCAGCATCACCAAGTTCAAACGTAAACAAGTAATCAATTCAAAACAAGGGCGCACAGGCCAACAAACAGCAAATACAACAACATCAGAAAGGAAAAGTACGTAGAGGCCATAATCTCCCCAAAATGGAAAAGACCATAACCTTGATTTTAAAAACCATAGTCTCAACACATAGAGGTTCATGATCAAAGTAAACAGCATTGCGCTGTTTCCATAGGTGGAAAACCGTGCATGCTAAGGCAATCTTCCTTGCCTTTTTGAGAATTCCATCTCCTCTTTTAAAGCCCTTCAGCCACCTGATAGCTCTAGGGAGAGTACTCAACTGCCCTTCCATCTGTAGCCAGTCTTTGACAGCCCTCCAAACGTCTTTAGAAACCGCGCAGGTAATGAACAGGTGGTCCACATCTTCAAGCTCTTGAGCACAGAAGGTACATTCCATGGGCACTCCGAGGAATTCCAGGTTGGTTTTGGTGGGCAGTCTCCTCCTAAGTGCTAGCCACATCGTAAAGGAGCACTTAGGAGGAATGAAACTTTGCCAAATAAAAGCCATCCAAGGCTTGGGGTTGGCCTTTGCCCTAAATAAATCATAGATCTTCCTGGGAATAAGAAAACCTGCCGAACAGTAGGGTTGCATAGCCATGTCCATATTGGAATTACAGTCAGCCAGCTTTTGGACCAAAAGCTCTCGTACATGGGCTAACCTCTTGAGGAAAACAGAATTCCTCTTCTTGGGTTGCCACTGCCAAACATCATTGCCTTGAATATAGATATTATGGACCCATTTAACCCACAAGGAGTCCTTCTTTGCTGCTAGGTTCCAAAGGAGTTTGCATAAGAGTGCGTTGTTCCACGAAGTAATATCTTTAAGGCCCAGCCCCCCCTCAGTCTTTGGTTTGCAAATATCCACCCAGGCCACCTTTGCAAGTTTACTGCCCCAGAGGAAGTTNTTTGAGAAGCAAGAGGAAGGCCCAAGTACCTAACAGGAAGCTGACCACGAGGAAAGGAGGCAAGAGCCAAAAGAGCATGACTACTGTCCCTGTATTTTCCAGCGAGGAAGATGTTGGATTTAGTGGGATTGAGGGTCAGCCCAGAAACTCTAGAGAAATGGTCCAGTGCGTCCATCAAGACTTGAACAGAATGGAGATCTCCTCTAGAGAACAACATGAGATCATCAGCAAAAGCCTGGTGCGTGATGCCCAAACCAGCACAATCCTTGTGGTAGTTAAAAGGCCCCTCTTTAGCCTTTTTGTTGAGTAATCTGGAAAAATACTCAATACAGAAAAGGAAAAGGGTGGGGGCCATTGGGTCTCCTTGTCTCAAGCCCCGTTTACTTGGGAAGAAACCGTGACTGTCTCCATTAACCATAATAGAAGACGAGGCAGAACAAACACATTCCATGACAAGAGAGATAAATCTTGAAAGAAAGCCCAGGCTTGCCATAACATCCTTTAAAAAACTCCAGGAAATAGTATCATAGGCCTTAGTTATATCCAATTTAATCAAGCAGCTAGGGGTAGATCTCTTGACAGCATAATCTCTGACGAGGTGTTGTGCAAGCAGAAAGTTATCCACGAGAGATCTTCCTGGAACAAAGGCTCCCTGTGCTGGGTCAATCAAGTCAGGGAGAATAGATGCCATACATTTTGCAAGAATCTTGGTGATGACTTTGTAAAGAACATTTAGGCAAGCAATAGGCCTAAAGTCTTTGACAGTGGGGTTATGGGTAGCTTTGGGAATAAGAACAATCATAGCATGATTCAACTGTTTCAAAAGTTTCCCCGAATTGAAAAATTCCAAGACGGCCTCATAAACATCCCTGCCCACAACTGCCCATTGATCCTTGAAGAATGCATAAGTGTAACCATCTGGTCCAGGGGCCTTATCGTTGCCAATATCAAACACCACCTGCCTGACTTCCTCAGGGGTAACATTAGCGAGGAGAGTTGGATGGGCAGAGACGGGAACAGAGGTTCCAGACGCTAAAATGTCACCATCAATAGTTTCCACAGGAGAAATGGTTCCAAATAAGTTAGTGTAATAGTCCACAAAAATGTGAGCCACTTCACCAGTGGATGTGGTTTTGGAACCATCTTCTCTAATCAAAAAGCCCACTGAGTTTTTCTTCCTATTATTCTTGACAATAGAGTGGAAATAGCTAGTGCATTTGTCAGAATTCATAAGAAAATCACACTTTGCTTTCTGTTGATAAAAAGCCAGTTCAGCATCTAAGAGGAAATTGGCACGTTTCCTTTTAAATTAAGCATCATCAAGAAGGGTTTGGTTGTTTGGGTCCAGGACCAACTCCTTCATCACCAACCTGTAGTCTTCTTTTGCTTCCATAGCTCTTCTAGAAATATGGCCAAAAGCGTGTCTGTTGAGGGACCTTAACGGAGGTTTGAGGCGTTTAAGCTTGGTACACAAGGAGTACTGTTTGGAACAGTATCTCCTGTCTCCCAAGATTGGCCAACCAAACCTGGAAAGTCCTCATGCTTAAGCCACATATTAAAAAATCTGAAAGGCTTGGCTCTGCTTCCAAGAGAAGTGCCACACTGAAACAGGATGGGGCAGTGATCAGACAAGAAGTTAAAATCCAAGAATTCACAGCTAGGAGCAAGGCCAATATCACCCCAGGACTGATTAATGAGTACTCTATCAAGTTTGGCAAGTTTATTCCCTTTGTGCCAGGTGAAAAAGTTGCCAGTGGATGGAGTATCCTCGAGGCAATTGGATGATTTGAAGGTTTGCAGATCAGTCATATAATAGGCACCTTGACTCATACAGTTCACCCTCTCATTAAGGTCCAGAACACAATTGAAGTCACCAAGTAAGGCCCAGGGTTTGGTTATATTCTGCGCCAGAGAGGACAAATGATTCCACAGCTCCCTCCTTTTAGTGACTGTATATAAGCCATAGATAAAGGAAAGATACATATCCTTTTGTGTTGTGAGGCATTGGACTGCGCAGTGAAGGAATTGTTCACCTATCTCCAAAACACTACAAGCAAAAAGAGAAGGATTCCAAAGAATCACCATACGACTGCCAGGTAAAACATCAAAATTAGTGGCATAATTCCACCCAGGCAGTCTTGTTTTAGCAAAATTATCTAATTTAATAGCTGTAATTTTGGTTTCCAATAAGCAGACAAAATGGACACCTAGTTCCAGGAGATATTTACACAAAAACTTCTGTTTAGAGGACCTGGATAGTCCTCTAATATTCCAACATAAGAGCTTCATGGAGGAGGAGGGGCATTCCCCTTACCACCTTTTTTGTTCCCTTGTTTCTTTCCAACAATGCTGCCATCTACGCTACCCTTTTTCTTATGGAGATCTGTTCCCGTACCAACCAAACTGTCATTAACCAAATTTCCAGTGTTTGGGCTAGGTTCGTTAGCCTTCTCATTAGAGGTGGAGGGAGTCAGGCCACCCTTAGGTTCAACATGAGTGGTCTTCCCTGTTGGTACCCATTCCTTACGTCCACCTTTCCCAAGATGCCCCTTATGATCATTTGGCTTGGTCGTAGCCTCATTGTGTTTAGCCTCCAACTCAGCATGGTCCTGTTTAGTCTCCAATTCTTCCTGGTCCTGTTTAGCTTTCAGCTCCAAAGCTCTACAATGGTAGGGGCCATGGTTCCAAGTTTTGCAGTGGTAACAATATTTTGGATCTTCCTCAAATTCCACCTTTTGTGTGTAGGACTTGCCCATGCCAGATACCTCAAAATGAGTCACAGGCCGTTTAGAGAAATCTACCTCAACAAGCACTCTACAAAAACCACCCTTGCCATGCTGTTTAGTAACAAGATCAGTCCTTAGGGGTTTTCCAACTTTTGAAGCCAACATCCCAATTGCTTCCTCAGACCATAATTGCAGTGGTACATTGTGAAGCTGGACCCAAACAGGAAGTGTGGTGAACTCAGCAAAGTCAAACATGAAT